CCCCTACCCCCGACACCCCACCTCGTCCCCAACCCTAACCACAATCCCGGCCCTCACCACGACCTCGACCCCAACTCAAAAAATGAAAAAAAAATCAGATGTTTCAAAATTCTTTACTTAAGACAAGGTTAATCAAATAACTACTAATATTATAAAGAAGTGTTCAAATTACTAGAATTTTATTTGGCAAATATTTTTATCTTTTGAAACTCTTCAATATAATGATATTATCCCTATCTTCTAAAAATATTTAAAAGTATTATATAATAAAAATTATAAACAAATTGAAACGTTATCTTCTTTTAAATTTTATGAAAATAAATGTGTGAAAAATGTTGATTTTTAATTTTAAATTGTCTTTTAATAGTTATATTTTATTTTTTAAAATTAATGGATATACCTCATAATGGGTGTACGTATAGAATTTTCATTGCATAAGGAGTGTAAGTATTTAATTTTATTAGTTCCCGTTTGGATATAGATTTAGCTATTTTTTTTCAAAAAAATAAAATAAAAATTGAAAGATTGTTTATTCATGAAATTTGATCAATTCTTGAAAAAAATTTGAAGAAAAATTTTCAAGTTCCAAAAACTGTTGGGGGCAAATTTTTGGTGAAAATTATTCTTCCACTAACAAAATTCAATATTTTTTAAATAAAATGTATAACTTTTATTTTTAAAAATTATTTTTCAATACAACTTTAAAAACTTTTTTTTTTAAGTTTCAACTAAATTTATATCCAAAGGTTAGTTAAAATATAGCGTGTGTATCAGAAATTGAGTCATATTTATAAGTTGTTTAACGTAATTAACCCAATTAATTATTGATGAGATATAAAATAGAACAGAGACCAGTAATTTTTGAACAAAATAGAAACCGCCACAAGCCCTAGACTACCGTCCGCTGAACTTTCTCAATTCATCAGCAGTGGCCTGTTAGGGTTTCAACTCTCAATCAAAGGTCGAAGCCATGTCGAAAAGGTGAAAATTTAGGTTTGAAGGATTGGATTTTAAATTTTGTGTTTCCTGAGAGATTCTCAAACAGTAGAACTTGCTATTTTTATTGTTTTTCCTTTAAACTACACTGATTTACTTCTCCAAAATCACGTGTTAGTTCTGAAGTAGGTTTTCTTTTATGCTTTTAGAGCATTGAGATTCAGTTGACGATGCCTTCCTCGCCCTCTCTTTGCCACGGATGATTTATCTTTTTATTTTTTCCCCAAATCTATAAATTACATGCTTGAGTAATCTCTCTTTAACTCTTTTTGAAACTTTATTGTGGTGCCTAGCTTTGTCTGTTTGTGATGGGACTTCAGAAACTTGTCACTGAAAATGCCGTTAAGGAGCTTTAGTTTTTCATTTGAGATGGTTTATAAGGTAGGGATTATTTAGGATGTTTGCTTTGTTCTATTAAAAATTATTATACTATGTGTATTTTAAAAGTTCTTTTTAACGAAATAAAACATTGGTTAAAAGTGCTTCGCTTGAGCCGAAAGTTTATGAGAAACAACCTCTCTACCTTCACAAGTCAAGGGTTGTGTACACACTATCCTCCCCAGACCTTACTTGTGAGATTACATTAGGTTTGTTGTTGTTGTAAAACATTGGTTACAACATTAAGGATTACTTTTTTCATCTAATAGTTTTAATCAATGTATTGCTTATTCCCCATTCTTATCCACATTTTATCCCGCATAACGATGCGTAAAAGAAAAATGAACCAAACATTGTTTAAAATGATGCAATGATTGATGTGGAAAGGAAAAGTGAAACTAAACAAGTAAACATTGTATTAACTATGTTAAATGTTAAATTTTATGTGGGGATTTCTCTCCTACTCTCAACCAAACATCACCCGAGTTATTGATCGTGAAATGGGTGTTTAAACTAATTGTTTATTTTATGATGTTTACGACCACTATAACAGAAAAGAAATGAATTGCCTGCTGTATATAAGTAAAATCTTTCATTCTAGCATTTCCAGATCATTATCATTGTACTGTCTATACAATACATTGTAGTTGTTGGGGCTGGCGAAGTTTATTGTTAATCCTAAATGAACTTTTTTCTCTTGTAGATAGTCATATGCATTTTTTGAAAATCTTTTCCAGGGTTCTTTGCAAGTTCTTTGCACGTGGAGCATGTCTAAAAGGAGAGCACTGTGATTTCTTGCATGATTCGGAAGATGTTCCAAATAATGTAATGTTCTGAAGATTTTGGTTAGAGTGTAAAGCTTTGACTTGCTTCTTCATCATCTAATTGCTTTTACCTGATCTATTGTTGCAGGTGTGCACATACTACCAAAAAGGAATTTGTGCCTTTGGCAGCAGGTGTAGATATGAACATGTTAAAATTACTCGATCACAACCTTCACTTCCATCTTCATCAGCTAACATTGTTGAATTGAAGAGAGTTAATGCAACTGATCAGTCAATTTGCTCTTCCTCTACTGCTGGTAATTGTCCACAAGGGAAAAAAGAGGAGCATATGAAAACATGTGAAACAAGGGAAAATCAGCATGATTTATTGAAGCATAGTCAGGAGATAGAGTGTGGTGTATGCCTTGAGCGTGTTCTTTCTAAGACAATTATGGCCGAGCGGAAATTTGGGATACTTTCTGAGTGTGATCATCCATTTTGTATATCGTGTATCAGGAATTGGCGCAACAGTTCTCCTTCAATTGGGATGGATGTCAATTCTACTTTGAGGGCCTGTCCTATATGCCGAAAGCTTTCATATTTTGTAATTCCAAGTGTCATTTGGTACTCAACGAAAGAAGAAAAGCAAGAAATCATTAACAGCTATAAGGCAAAACTCAGGTTCCTCTAATTCTCCTCTTCCTATTTTTTTAATTATGTTTTTCCTTTGGATTCTGAACTCGAATAGCTTTAAAAGCTATGAGCATGGATGTGACTTGTTCCTAAAATGACAGACAACAGTTTCTGAAATGATTTATGCAAATTATTTATTGAAGAGCTCAACTCATGCATTAAGATATCATATACTAATTTCGATCGTGTTATATAAGTTTTGTAAGAGTATATATTGAATCTTCACTAGGATGGTATTCTATTTCAGGATAACACTTGTTTGTTGGTGGTAGTCTGATTTGAAAAATTAGCTTTTATACTTTGTGGGAGATCTTATTTATAAAATATCCATCCTTCATTATATGGATATCACGCAAGACTTTTTTATTTTTAATTTTCAGATCAAAGTAGTTCTGGATGCAGGGTGTATCTTAGTGTTGCCTGAAACTTGTGTATCTATAAAATGCTTCCCCCTTCCCCTTCTACCAGCGAAAGAAAGCTTAGAAGTGAACTCAAAGTGTATTTTGTTTTGTCTGAAGTAACTTCTTCTGTCAATCTTTGATTTCAGGTCTATTGATTGCAAGAAATTTGACTTTGGCAATGGGACCTGCCCCTTTGGAGCTAGTTGTTTCTACAAGGTACAGAATGTTAAGATATCTGTCTGTCTTTATATGCATCTAAATAGTAGTTGTATTTTTTAGATAGTAATTGTGAAAAACAATACAGGGAAGAAAAATTGAGAGAAATTTAGCTTGATTATTCCCTCAAGCTATTGGGGTTAAATAACTAAGTGTATATTTCCTAAGAAAGGAAAGAAATTCAAATTATCTAATTACAAGATCCTAGAATATATACAAGATTTTAATAAATATCTATAAGATTCTAACACTCCTTCTCAAGCTGGTGCATTTAAATTATATGTATCAAGCTTGTTTCAAATGTAGTTGATATGATGACTAGTGAAGGATTTGGTAAAAATATATGCAAGCCGAGCATTTGACTTCACGAATCTCATAATAGTGTCTCTTGAAAATATTTTTTATCTGATAAAGTGATGATCGATCTCAATGTGTTCAGTTCTCTCAGGAAACGCTGAATTTGATGCAGTATAAATAGCAGCTTGATTATCAATACAAGTTTCATTTGACTGATTTCTCCAAACTTCAGTTCTCCTAGTAAATATTTAATCCAAATTGGTTCGCAAGTTGCCACAACCGTTGCTCAGTATTGTGTTTCTGCACTCTATCGAGCGACCACATTTTGTTTCTTGCTCTTCCAAGATACCTACTTGCCTCATACTGGGACATAATATCTAGACGTAGACCGCTTATCAGAGGGTGATCTTGCCCAATTAGCGTCTGTGTGCCCAACAATTTGCTCATGGCCTCGATCCTCAAAAAGTAATCTTTAATTTTATATATCGATGAATATGAACAATTGTATCCCAGTAACTATCACATGGAGAGTCCATAAATTGACTTACAAGTTATAACACTCACAGGAAAGGCAATGTAGGGTCGAGTCGCTATGAAAAGTTCAACTTACTAACTAGTCACCTATACCTTCCAGGATCACTAAAGGGCTCCCCCTGTAGTGACAAAAGCTTAACATTCGGATCCATAATAGTATAACGAGTTTATAGCATGTCATACTTGTTTTCTCAAGAATGTCTAAGACAAACTTGCGTTGTAAGATAGACAATATCTGATTTGGACTGAGCGACCTCAATGCGTAGGAAATATTTCAATCTGCCTAAGTCCTTCAGTCTGGTAATGCTAAAAGGGATGTTACTTCAATTCAATTATACTATCTTGATAATTGCCCGTGATCACTATATCATCAACATCAAATACCAAATAAATGCACATATTTAGAGCAATATATAGATAGAATACAAAATGATCAGTCTCACTACGAGTCCCGAGTCGTACCAAATTCCTGAATAACGTGCTAAATTTACCAAACCATGCTTGAGGAGATTGTTTTAAACTATATAAGGACCGACACAACTGACATACAAGATCACTACTCCCTTTGAGCAACAAAACTAGATGGTTGCTTCATATATGCTCATTATCAAGATCATCAGGGAGAAAAGTATTTTTAATGTCCAACTAATAAAGAAACCAATGGCAAACAACCGCCCTGGATCTAAAGAGATGGAAATATACTATTTTAGCCACGGGGAGAAATTATCACTATAATCAAGCCCAAATATCTGAGTATACCCTTTGACAACAAGGTGGACTTTAAGTCGATCAGTTTGACCATCTGTACCAATTTTGAGTCTTTGACTACATACATCCACCGTTAGATGGTAGATTTGCCTAGAGGTAGATGAAGAAGTTACCGAATACTACTAGCATGTAAAGCAAATATGTCTTCGATCATAGTTTGTTGCCATCCAGGATGAGATAACGTTTCACATGTGGACTTAGGGATAGAAATAAAGGATAAAGATGACACAAAATCATGAGTATACCCTTTGACAACAAGGTGANCCTTTGACAACAAGGTGGACTTTAAGTCGATCAGTTTGACCATCTGTACCAATTTTGAGTCTTTGACTACATACATCCACCGTTAGATGGTAGATTTGCCTAGAGGTAGATGAAGAAGTTACCGAATACTACTAGTATGTAAAGCAAATATGTCTTCGATCATAGTTTGTTGCCATCCAGGATGAGATAACGCTTCACATGTGGACTTAGGGATAGAAATAAAGGATAAAGATGACACAAAATCATGATGGGGTAACGACAACAACATACCAGCATAATCCCACAAGTGGGGTTTGGGGAGGGTAGTGTGTACGCAGACCTTACCTCTACCTGGTGAGGTAGAGAAATTGTTTTCGATAGATCCTCGGCTTAAGAAAATGTGAAAAGCGAGAGAAGGGAAGAAGACGAAGAAGAAAGAGGAAGAAAAAGAAAGAATAGGGAGACAAAGGACGATGGGGAAAAGGAAAAAAAGACAACAACAACACAAAACAACAAGTAAAAGAAAAAGTAGCATCAAATAGTAACAAATTGAAAAATACGAAACACGGAGCGAACGAAACAATAGGCAAATATTAGAGTTCAAAGAATACGAAAAAAACAAGAGCGCTACTAATACTACTAGAAAAGAACTGGGAACTCTGGGCTACCTACTAGCCTTCTACCATAATCCTCGACCTCCACACCCTTCTATCCTGGGTCATGTCCTCAATGAGCTGAAGTAACGTCATGTCCTGCCTAATCACCTCTCCCCAATACTTCTTCGGCCTACCTCTACCTTTCTCAGCCCCGCCATGGCCAGCCTTTCACACCTCCTAACAGGAGCATCCATACTCCTCTGCACGTGCCACGAACCATCTCAGCCTCAACTCCCGCATCTTGTCCTCCACGGGGCCCACTCCCACTTTGTCCCGAAAAACATGATGGGGTGATGATAAAAAATGATAACTCAAACATCTTTAATGGGAATTGCAATTACGAGTGGATCAAATACCTTTTCGGAGTGCAATCGGAGCACTAGGAGGAGATAAGTCCGCATTAGGTGAAGGATCCAGTATAGGACGTGAATCATCTGGACCTGTTGTTGGACACTAACTGTATTGATTAGTTAAGAATGGTGGAGTTGCAGAAGGTTGAACTGGCTATAGGTGGGAACCTACGCAGTAGGTGGTGGAGTTATGGAGGAAGATGAAGGACAGACACTGGCTGAATCTCTGAAAGATGGAATTGGTAATGCCTCATAAATGTCGAGTGATCACTTGAACTTGTGAAGTATGGTTGGTTTCCAAAGAAGGTAACAACAGCAGACATAAGGCACCGCTGGAGGTCATGTGAATTACATTGATATTCCTTCTGCGCCCTCGAGTAACACAGAAATACGCATTTAAGTTAAGTGAATGAGGATTTAAGGTTATGAACAAAACACGTGCTCCCAAAGACATGAGGTGGAAGATAATACAAAGGTAAGTGAGGAAACAAAACAGAATATGGAACTTGATTTTGATTAGTTGAGGATGACATACGATTAATAAGATAATAATTTATATTAGTTTTGTTTAGGTTATATTTGTTATCTACTGTTCCTTTCATCAGAGTTTGTGTGACAGATTTTTTCTGTTGAATGATGTTTGACATAATGCTACAAGTAGTATCTATGGACCTTTATCAAGAATACAAAATATGAAATTTGTTTAACTACTCAGAACTTAAATGAATGTTTTCTTCATCAGTTAATTTCTAACTTCTAGCTTATTACCCCCTTTTTAAAATATTATATAGCGGGTGTTTGACTAGTTAAGTGTTAAAAAATGGAAGAAAGACTTTACATATTAGACACATGAGCTAATTATGTATAATATACCAAAAATATCTGAAGAATTCTATGGTCTGAAACATGTTATGCCATTTCCCAAAAAACTCTTTGTTGTCTTACAGCACACTGTCAAGCCAGGCTTAAAGCTGTGGAATTCTACACTCATGCCAGACTTACATGGCTCAAGCTTCTCAGACGCAGATGAAACGGAAAGCGGCTCTGATGGAGATATGGAAAGCTTCAGAGCTTTGTTTGAGGAAGCAATGGCTTTTATGATGTGGCTGCGCGATTATGATACAAGTGATGATGAATGATTGTTGGATCTAACTAGGGGTGTTCGTTGGTCGGTACAGTCCGGTATTTAGACATTTCGGTTCGGTATTCGGTTTCTTAAAATGCTATACCAAAATCGTACCTAATTAAATTCGATATGATTCAGTTTTCTCCTTTCGGTTCGGTAACTTCGGTTTATTCGGTTTGAATACTAACTAGTGCGTAGAATCATAGACTGTAATATTCTTAATTAAAGCACTCAGAAGTACAAAACTAAAAATATTTGTTGACAAAAGTTGTCCAAAACTAGCAAATATCAATCCAGAGAGAAAATTGTACATAAAATAATAAATTTGGTCATTAGAAATGTCTTGTTACTTGCTTAGAGTTAATTGATGAACTTATAAAATAAAGAAAGTAAAATTTTAGATTTTTTTATATTTATGTTATAGTTAATAATGTGTATTGTTTAATATAATATATATTTCTGTATAGTATCGGTATTTTATTTTCAAATGTCAAATACCATACCATACATAATACCAAATTATTTTTAAATATTAAACCAAATACCATACTGAATATCAAAATATCGATATCAAATACCAAAATTTTTGATTTCGTCATGTTAATTCGGTATTTATCAAATTATGCATAACCCTAAATCTAACCTATGTAGATATTGGAATTTGGGTGAAGGTGTTGTTAATTACTGAACAAATTTTAATCTGATATGAACCTTCGAAATTTCGCTTTTGGTTTTGGTTAAGGTAATGCTTATTGAACTTGGGTCTCCTAATTAGTTTATTTTGCCCCATGATATATTTTTTTTGCTTTTAGTTTCTCAATTGTTAGTTGCTCAGTATTATCATTATATCATCCTACTGTATTAAAAGTGGGAACACTCAAAGACAAAAATGCCCAGAAATAATTAAATGCCCATTTTACCCTTCACCTAAATACTGTTTAGACAAAATTAGCCTTGAAATGTGATGGACTTCAACGTATTTATGTAAACTAACTTATTCCTTCATAAATGGGTATGTCTCTTCGTAAGTCGTAACTCCCCAAAACTGAAGAATTTGAATAGTTGCAATTGATAAAACAATAAAAACTAAATAATTTCTACCTAAACAAGTACATTAACCAATGTTCTTTAAAACAATCTTATTCAGATTCATCTTCATGCTTGTGATATACTGATAGTTGCCCTTGTTGGTCCGTAATGACTGAAAAATAGAAAATCTGTGAGTGTTTTCATACTAATGTTTATTTTAATTTTTAACATTCATTTTTTTGCCTTTGCATGTTTGATATGTCATTCCCAATTTTTGTAATTTTATAAACAGTCTCCTACTTATAAGAAAATCAAATCTTGACGGGTTTTGTAAATAAATACCCTCATAAAGAAAGAGAACGACATTAGTAGTATGAAAAATGCACCTCTCAAAAATTTGAAAGTTATTTTAACACATTACTTGGTCGGGAAAAACCAATAAAGACAAAAAAAAAAAAAAAACTTTTAGCATTTTCATTTTCGGATATTAATTTTAGGAAGATCACTTATAATTAACTTTAGATTTCATCATCTTATTTTTATTTCATCAGTATCTTTTCTCCTTTCTCAAAAGAAAAATATTAACGTATTCATGGATAGAACTAGCTTCCATCCTATTAGAGATCAAGAGAAAAAAGATGTAAAAAATATGAGATAAAAAAGATTTTACTGATTGATACAAGATACACGCGCAATGCACCATTAAAGTACAATTATTCTCATCTATTCCGAAAATAATTATTTCTCATGTAGGATAGTAATTCTCCTTACTTCATGAGAGTTCTTGTGTTTCCCCATTTCCTCTTGTTTTTGGTTTTGCAAGGGAATCGGACTACGTTCATAGATTGGTTTGATTTAATCATTTAAAGATATTTATCTGACACTTTTAGTATTCCTATTTAACCTTTTTTCTCAAATTCTCTTAAAAAATGTGTAACCTAATGAGCGTTAATGTCAGCATTGCTAATGATTTGCCCTTTCAAAGAACAGTGATTGTGCTAACTCCTCGACGTCCCACAAGATATATGACGATAATGGTTTGCATGTCAAATGGAGAATGTGCACTTTATTTTAAGGTCCAATTGCGTGCCCAGCCTAGTTTAGGACTTCAATTTTACTTATAAGAGGCAATAAAGATAACTAGAGTTTGTGGGTACTCGTGTAAAGAAATTGGCAAATTCTTCTAACTTTTTCTCTTGGCCATCATCTATAATTTACTCTGGCATCACTGTTAAGTGAGAATTACTAGAGTTCGAGGGTATTCTTGTAAATAAGCTGGCTATTACCCATCCTCTAGAATTTTTTTTGGCATCACTAGAGTTTGAGGGTGTGGTTTTGATGTTGAGAGTATCCTATAACTTCTTTTTTCTTTTTTTCTTTTTGTCGTTTTTCCTTCTTTCTTTCAGGTAATTTCAGTTTCTTTGTGTGATTTTAACAGAAAAACTATATGATACAGATGCAGGTTGCACCCCAATGTCAAGAGATCAGTTCTAATATTACAATATAAATACTCACTTCCTTCATTTTCAATTATTTCAATGACAAATTATAAGCAAATGAAAAAGGAGTCAAGCTTGGTGCTCTTTAAAGCTATAGCTTAAAGTTTTATTGACAATAATCTTTGGATGGAATCTGGCCAGAGGCGGAGAAAGTATAAGTTACGGGTTCGAACGAATCCAATAACTTTTGCTTAGACCTTATATATGTAATAGGAAATTCATTAAATATGTGTAAATATTCAATTGTAAACCCAATAACTATAATGAGCTATGGGTTCGGCGACAAGTTTAGAAACCATAAACTTCAAATTCTGGCTCCGCCTCTAAATCTGGGCCAACATTCCCCCCGCTGAGGATAGTAAAAATAGCACGGGCTAGCCAGTTTTCGGATTGGTAATTGAAAAATAACCAGCATTTGCAAAGTCATTGAAAAATAGTCACTATTTTGCTGCAACACGGACCGGTCCAGCATAATATATTGGAGATTGGTGCACCTGTGTATGAACTTCCAGCATATTATAATGAAATATTTTTCGAATTTTGAACAGTGTTTTCGTTCAGATTTATCTTTACATGAAAAGTGCTGAATTTCGATTACTTTTGAAACTGTGCCTATTTTTCAATTACCACTTGTAAATCTGGCTATTTTTAAATTTCTCCCCTAAGGATATCATGTAGACAAACAAAGTAGGTATTTGGACATAAGAATTGTAAAATTTCAAAATAGAGGGAAATATTTGAAATTTAGAGTTTGTTTGGGCATGAATATAATTTTGGATTGTTTTTGATGTTTTGTGAGTGATTTGAGTAAAAATTTTGAAAAATAATTTTTTGGAGTTTTTCAAATTTTCGAAAATTTTCAAAATGCATTTTCAAGTGAAAATTGAAAATTTTATGAACAAACACTGATTTCGAAAAAAAGTGATTTTTTTTTTGGAAAAAGGGAAAAAAATTCTTATGTCCAAACGGGCTCAAAATATACGAGCAACAAAATCAAGCCTTCAAATATCTGTAATAAGAAGCATTCACTACAAAGGCTCATAACTCAAAAAGAAGATAAATAAATGAAAGAACGTATCCCATTTAACAGAATAGAAATGAATAGAGCGCAAACTTGTCCATATAAGACATGACATAATAATATTTACATTTATTCATTTTCAAGAATATACATGCCCATCCTTCGAGCAAAACACAGCCTATAGCAACCTAATACGTATTATATTACAATATGAATAAAATTAGACAACTGATATAGCACGGCAGCTTCTTGATGTTGATCTCGAAGTAGTGCCAATCCCCAAGAACAAAGGACTATTCAACAACAATAGGATATTATATGTCAAGACTGAATATGATGACTAACCTAATAGTTACACAAATATTAAGCTCTGAATAACATTTCACTCAGTGATATTAACGGACATGCTTCTTCATCCTGCTCTCAAAGTAGTAATGACTTCTGCACTTAGCAATCCCGAGAACTAAGGAATATTCAACAACAATAGGATATAATATGTCAAGACTGAATATAATGACTACCCAACTTGTTAAGATGGCCTCCTCATTCAACAGGATCCAGCTCAATCTGGGCAAGAAGCTCCAGATAAGCCTCTGACATTAACCACCTCTTTAGAGGAATTGTTTGTTGGAATCTATTTATCCTTTGCAGGTAAGAAATAACGAGTAATACCCAAATCCCTTTTTACTGTGTTAGATCGCTTCTGAGGCCTGAGCCATGCACGTACCTCTTCTTGAATTTGTTTTGGTAACTCCTTCAGGACATCCTGGTCAATCTCATCAATGTCGTAACTCCAGGCAGGTCTTTTAAACTGGCTGCAAAGACGAGCATCGACACTGGACTCACCCCTTGTAAGTGAATTTTCTTGAGGAGGTTCACTATGAGGGTCTGCACAATACAAATAAATACAAAATAAGTAAGAAACCCAATACTCCCTGCTCTAAATTTATGACATCCTTTTCTATTTTAGGTGTCCCAAAATAGTTAACAACATTTCAAAAAATATTCTCTTACATTTGCCCCCTTTCATCTAACATGATGGTATTAACTCGACATGAATTTTAAGATATTAGGTTGAGTTATATATTATATTAGTGATGATGAAAAAAAAATATCAAAGTAATGTTTGAAAAGTTAGTTTGATACAGAAGCATCACGTCAAAGTTCAAAGTTAAATAATTTAAATATTTGAATTCTTGAAAAAATGTGAATGTTATACATACAAATGGAACAATGTGAAAGATTTTTGACGTCAAAAAATGAAAAGAGTATCATGTAATTTGAACAGAGAGAGCGCAACTTTAATTCATACAACTATTCAGATTTAAATTTTGATGTGATATGCTCATTTTAATCTAATTATCCAACTATTACTTTAATATTTTCCATTACCACCAAGTCAAATTAACACCTCAAACGCCATGTTCAATCAAACCACGATCATGTAAACAATGAGACGAGAGAGTAAAAAATGGAAAGCTAATTGAAAAAAAATTATATTGGCCGGTGAATCTGTTACCTGACAAGGAGGATGATTCGCTAAGATTAGCAGTGCTAGCATGCTCTATCTGTATGAGAGAGTCAGAGTTTTGACTTTGAAAATATCGCGAGATTGTTTGCATTCCCTAATATAACAATAGCAAAAAGAAGCTAAAAACAGTTTTCTGAAGCAATCAAAATAAAGATACTTTCAGTATTGGTAGACTGGACATTTATTCCAAGACAATTTTAAGGCATCCAATCCAAACATGGAATGTCACAATCTGAAAGGGATATAGGTGAAGATCATACAAATGACTCAGTGCTCTGATCATTGACGCCTGTTCCAGTGCAGAAAAGATGTGCATATACCTTACATGGTCTGTTTTATATGTGAAGCATAACATTCCAACACATACAAGGAGAGGAAAGATCTCTTTGATAATCTTTTTTATGAGGACAGATCTCTTTGATAAACGTTGTGATGCTTAAAATTTTTATTTGACCTCTTATGTTTAGATTATAGAAATATGATCTCAAACCAACCAACAAAGATCTATCAGCCTCATCATAGTAAATCTTTTACATGTTCTTAGGAGGTTGCATAATGATTTCTTTCTTTACTGCAATACATATATTGTTGAAGGTATAACACAACAACAACATACCCAATATTATCCCACACTGTGGGGTCTGGGGAGGGTAGTGTATACGCAGACCTTATCCCTACCTTGTGAGGATAGAGAGGCTGTTTCCAATAAACCCACGGCTCAGGAATATTGTTGAAGGTATAAATAATTTAAAAAATCTAAATCTTATTACTCGAGTGATAAGCTTTACTACAACATACTACGCAAAGTATAAATACTTAAACAAGAAGAAAGATGAAGAAAGGAAACCTAAATCTGACTGCTCAAACAATCTTTCATCTTAAAGTCAAGGAATAGCAAAAAAAAAAACTTAAAAGCAAAAAAAGAAAAAGTCAAGCAATAGCAAAATGCACAGTTCTTAAGGAAAGTACGGAGAGCAATCATATTGAAAAGGATAAGAATGGGGAAGAAAGAAAAGCCTGCGCATTTAAGGAAAGCTAAATGTGTAAGGAGAAACAGGAGAACACAGTCAATACACAGCTGTAATCCATGAAATAAGTAACTTTCTATTTTCTTAGATCAAGCAATGAAATAACAGAATGGAGTTTGAAACCTTTTCTTTATTGGACTTCCTCTTCCCTTCCTCCGACTCAAAAGTATCTCTACTCTTTTCAGTAAGGGAGACCCCACTTGATTCAGTCTGATCTTTCTCCCATCTCGGATACTCTTTCTCCCATTTCGGATACACTTCAGCATCTAAAGGATCTAAAAGTCCAATTAAAACAAAAATAGGGCAGAAGCAAAAGACAATTAAGGAAATATTGACCAAATTTTTAGCTATTAGAACCAATAGGAAGAAATACCTGGTGAAGAACATATCAAAGTCTCTTTATCTGGTAGCTGTTCAGGTGACAAAAGAAAGCCCTGCTCAAAAAGACCTAGATTATAAAGGTTTTATACCAGAGGATAATCAAAATGGAAAATACAGAAAGCAGGAATCTCACTGACAGTCTAAAGACCAGGTCTATTAAATAATTTATAGCACAAAATAAGTCATAGTACTGAAATTGTTATAACTGATATCCCAACTCAATTAAGCGGGCTTCTGGGATTACAATCAGTGTATATGGTTTGCTTCCTCTTTCTTTATTTACCAGTAACTCTTATGTCTCAACTTTTGTCTTCCCCCCTTCAGAAAAGGCTGGAGGAGTTTAAGATAACAAAAAGGGAAGACTTATCAACTACAAAATAGAAAAACAAAACTTTTCTTCTCTTTCTTTTAAGACCGACCGAACAGACCTGAAAACGTTATGCAGATACCAAATATCCAAATAACTCAAGCTAAAAGCATAAAAGATTCCTGTAGCCTATGAAAGTAGGAAGCTCAAGAATGTAGATTCGTGTAATGAGTAATGATGCGCACAAGATAGAACTGACCACAGCAAAAGATAGGAAGTTCAAAGATGTAGATTCGTACTAGTTAATTGTTTGCAGAGTAAAGAGACATTATTGCTTGAGGCCATTTTCATGATGAAAAAATGACAATATGCTATTAGCCACATCACGACTTAGCCCAAGCTCACTGTCAAGTAGGCCAGGTGGCAAGAGTTACTTGTTGAAATAACCCATAAATAGTGAAGATATCACTGTGCAAAAAAAGGAATAAGTGAGTGGACCACAGCCCACAAAGTTAAAAGACTAATGCTGGAAAGCTATAAATGGGGAAAGGGACGCCGGAGCTTCTGATGAAGCTGTAAAAGCAAGCCATGCAATATAGCTTTTTTAGAAGCCTTTCTCACGTGAAAACAGAGAGGAGAAGAGAGAGAGAGAGAGGAGAAGAAGAAAAAGAGAAAAATCATGCATTGTATAAAGCTTCAAGGTATATTTCCTTACTTTTATTTTATATTAGCATTATTAAGGCCCCATTTATTTCAAAGGCGTATCCGGGATTTCAAAATCATGGGTGCACTATGAGTGCCAGAGACCCGAGTTTTCGAGAGTGTCCGAGAGATGTGTTTTTGGTTTAGGAATTTTAAAGGTTAAAACGAAGACTAAAATAAGAGAAGGAAAAAAAGAAGCCGTATTACAAATATAAAAGGGAGAAAAAGAAACAAAAAATGTATTTAATTAGAAAAAAAGGCAGAGCACGATAATTTAACCCTATTTATTAATTAAAATATGATTTAAAAGAGGAAAGAGTATGGAATCGAACCCTGATTAAAAGATAGAAGGTGCACCTCCTTACCAATGCACTAAAGTGTTCACTTGAGTTTGGGCTCACCTATGTTAATTTAAATATTTGAGCTAAAATTTACTAGTGCTATACATGATTTCGGGGAGGAGGAAGGGTTCACATGAACCCGCCCCTTCCCATGTGCATCCGCCCCTGATTTATTTGCATTTAATGGAGGTATGAATTTGAATGGTTCAGACCTTAAACCATTTAATGAGTCTGGATAGATCTGAATCATTTAGATCATGAACCGTGGTCTTTGTTGAATTGTCCCACATCCGCGGGATTTGGGGTCCTTGGTCTCCTTATACGGTCTTGGGCAATCCTCACCTCATAAGCTAACTTTTGGGTTTGAGTTAGGCCCAAGGTCCATTTAACATGGTATCAGAGCCACTCTTGTGTCAGCTTTGCCGATGGTGGGTCAGAGTTCAATTGAGTTTAGGCAAATCACGATTAGGCGGGGCAAACCTCAGTGAGCCTAGGCGAATCCATGCGATGGGGCAAACCTCAGCGAGGACGTTGAGTCCATAAGAGGGGGTGCATGTAACCTACGTTGCTCGGACACGGGTGCAGGTGTCCGACACAGGTACAGATCTAGAGTTCAGATCCTTCAAGATGTAAATTCTAAGACGGGGATATGGATCCTAGTACGGGTGAGGGGATCCGGCTAAAAATAATTCAAAAAATAAAAATATAAAAGTATCTCTAAATTATGAGAAATACCTAAGTATAGCTTTTAAGTGTGAATATCTTTTTTATTTTCAAGTTGTAGATAAATAAAGGATTAAATTACTAGATAAGGTATGTTATTTTCTTCCCTAATTTTGATTCTAATTTCGGAAATCAAATTGTATCTCGTCTCGAATTTTTCCGTCCGTCGTGGTCAAAGTACCAAAATTATTTGACCAGATCCCGGACGGATCCCACACCCATATCCATACTAGTGTCGTGTCGACACGGGTGCGGCATCTAAACTGCCGTGTCGGAGCAACTTAGTATGTAACACCCCAAACTCTAGACAGAGTCTCACATCGGCAAAACACAAAAGGGAGGTTGGGTATATAAGTTAACAAGCCTTAGACCATAGTGACGCATTTTAAACTCATGAGGGCCTAGGCCCAGAGCAGAAATTTCACTAGCGAGTTGGGCTGTTACACATGGTATCAAAGTCAGGCCTATCCCAACCCAATTATTGTTACCGATGTTGGGCCCCCATATATATTGTCCACGCTCCAATTTGCAGGCTTGGGCGTGGGGGGAGGGAGGGGGGTTGAGTTGTCCGACATCGGTGGAATTTGAGGTCCTTGGTCTCCTTATATAGTCTTGGGCTATCCTCATCTCATAAGCTAACTTTTGGGGTTGAGTTAGGCCCAAGGTCCATTTAACAAGTCTTAAAAATATTAAGAGGTTAATCAAATATATTTGCGAAGATGGTCTTCCACCCAATCACCACCATGTAAGTCCTAGGGTGTCATGGAGCCATTACAATTGAAGCCTACAAGTTGGGTGTTCACGGTTCGATTAAACATCCATCCAAATCTGAGACCGAACCGATTTTCTTTTGGGTTTGTTTTTACATTTTAAAAAACTAATAATATTTGATTTGGTTTTATTAAAAAAATGAAGTAAAAATTGAACCAAACCGACAAAGTATGTATATA